CCTTGCGCTTGCGAGGCAGGTGGTGGAACCACTGAGCTAAATCCTCAGCCCCAGATATAAACTCTTTATCACACCAAATCTTCTCAGGGTCCAGGTAGTTTTCTGAAGCCCTGACATTTTTACTGGTTTGTTTCCTTTTTCACAGATATATCTTTGTGCTTTTTAGCACTGACATAATTGTCATAGTTCATTTTCTGTTTTCATGAGAGAATATTTGAGATTGGGTAATTTTTTTTTTTTTGGTACTGGGGATCGAACTCGGGTCCTTGCGCTTTCGCAGCAGGAGGTGAAACCACTGAGCTAAATCCCCAGCCCCAAGACTGGGTAATTTATAAAGACTAGAGGTTTATTGTGACTCATGATTCTGGATGCTGGGAAGTCCAACAGCATGGTGCTGGCATCTTCTTAGCTTCTGGTAAGGGCTACATTCTATTTCCTAGTACTCAGAAAAATCAAAGGGCAAGTAGAAGAGAGCAAACATGACGGGTAGCCTTGCTTTATGACAACTACTCTGTGATAACTAATTCACTCCTATGAAAGTAAGAAGTCACTCATAACAGAAAGGTATTAATCCACTCATTAGTGTAGTAATGATCCAGTCTCTTCTTAAAGTCTCACCTTCCAACACCACCACAACAGCAATCAAATTTCAATATGAGTTTCACAGTGAAAAAATCATATTCAAACAACAGTAGCAATAATAGTGGCTTGTCAGGGGGGTGGCATTTTTATGAGGCCACAGACCAACAGTTTTCTGCACCCATGCACTTCTGGTGTACAAGGGTAGGTAAAACACACTCTATTAACCACTTAACTAGCATGCTTTTCTGGGAAAGAAAGACAATATCTGAGCAGAAGTCACTCCTCACATAGAAACAGTTGTGTCAGTTGAGGCACAAGCCCCACAACTCCTTCCCTACCCGCTCATGCAGTTAGGTAGGAAGGGTCCTTCCACATGTGTCCTCATGGCATGGAATTTACTTTTAGTAAGAGAACAGGGAAGGATCATGTAAATTTTAACAAACATCCAAGGTTATCATGAAGAGTCAGTGAAAATTATAGTTACCAACAATTCTGGGTACTCAACATCAATGAGGTGGAGAGAAGTCACAGAGCACCTTCACTTTGAAAAGCCGATCTTCTCTACAGCCATACCACCCTGAATGCACCTGATCTCATTTGAAAAGCTGATCTTGCCATCTCGATTAGTTCTCCCACTAGCTGGCTTCCATCCTATGTTGGTGGCTAATAATAATAATAATGTAATGGGCGGGTACTTTCAAACTTTTTAGTAGTTCAACAGTGCTAACCAATTCACTGTAGCTTTTTCTTATTGTTTTAAAGTCCTGCATTACCAACAGAAAATGAAAAAAGTATTTTTTAAAAGGACAAGAACAGGAACCAGAAGTAGTAAGAGAAAAGAAAGAGTTATTTGGGGCTGAAGGTGAGAGAGAAGGCCACATTCCAAGTTGAGACCCTGAAAATAACCCATTCCTGCCTCTGTTGCTAGCCTTGCACTGTGCAGTGGAGAATTCTCAGTTGTGATTTTTCAAAATCTAGGTTTGGATTCTTATTATAGTATATGTGCTGCCGAAGCGAGCACTAGGTTTGGATTCTTGAAGCAGCTGAATTGCTATTGCTCAGCACTCTATTTTTCAGCACTGGAGATTTGAAGGCTTCTGATCCTCAACAAGTTCTTGCTGTCCTCATGGCTTCCAGTCAAAGGAGTCAATCCTGTGAGGGTTCAAGCTCCTTGCAGGATGCACGCTTCTCTCACATCCTGCAAAATGTGCTAAATGCCAAGTTATGAGAGTTGGTGTCATTTCTGCTCCACAAGTATCAAAAGAAGGAGTAGGTCACCATGAAAGAAATGCTGCATGTTCTGCCCCATGATTACTGTAACAACTTCCCTCTGAACTTTTGGGAACTCTGTAAGTCCATGTGTCTGGGCTTTGGCATTAAAATCAGGAAAGTGAATCACTCTGGCAACACATATGAGCTAGTCCCCATTTTGGGTCTTACATACAGTAGGATACTAGATGGCGATGATGAAAGAATCATTCTCAAAATCGACATCATTATATTCACCCTGTCTCTAATCTTCATAGAGGGCAACCATATCAATGAGGAGGACCTAACTGAAAAAGTGAAAAGATGGGACATGTTAGCTCACTCTGAGCATATTCATTTTGAGGAAGCCTGGATATTCATCACTGTGGATTTAGTACGGGAAGAGTACCTGACGTACCAGCAGATTCCTAACAGTGATCCTTCTCGCTATGATTTCCTGTAGGGTCCAGGGCCCATGCTGAAACCAGCAAGATGAAACTCCTAGTTCATATGGCCCATCTTAATGGAACAGATCCCAAGTCCTACCCAGAACTACATGAAGAGGCTTTGGAAGCAGAACTAGGTATAGGGCCAGGGTTCCTGAGAAACAGGGCATATTGCACAAGGGTGTCAGCGAATTTGTTCTCCCCCAAGAAGAAATGAGGCCCATTTTTGGTCTCTGTGGAGAGCAGGCAGTTTTCTAAGTAGTGAAGGACCAGGAGAGAGGTAAAATAGCACACATAGCATCTTGCTGTCTCTTCTATTTGAGTTACTTGGAAATGGACAGGGGTTTTCTTTATGGTTTTTTGAAGTACTGGTCCTTTTGGGGGGAGACTGAAGTAGCTTGAATGTTTATTGAATGGTATTGATCTCCTGTGTATTTTTAGTTTTGTGATGTTGATGTGTGTTTTCTAATGGGAATGTGATTTTGTGTGATATTGATCACAAATGGAGTGCCTTTTCTATTCAAATGTAACAGTCTTTCCTGTTTTATCATACAAACAGAAAAACTATTCAATTTATTTATGATAAAATGGGAATGGAATAGGAATTTCCTTGAAAATTGTAAGTTTACATCAAGTTAGAGGGAACCTAGAAAAAGTAATAAGGATAAAAATCAAATATTGGCTGCTGTTTATTTCTTTTCCCCTGTTGATCTATACTATTAAACTTATATTTATTGCAAAAAAAGAGGAAGAGTTATTTGAAAAGTAACTTTGGGGCAGGGTGTGATAGAATGTCACCGATTAACTACTTTAGTTGTCACTTACTGCATTCATGTCCTGGGCTGCCTAAGCTTCACACGAATTAGTGAAACCCAAGAGGAAGATTTGCTTTGGCAAGGAGCAGTAAAAGTAAAAAGCAGCTGTCTGTACTGACACTACACTACCCATGACACTGAGGTATGCCCTCTGTGTCAAGCTTATTACTCTATTATGGAACCAAAACTGGCTGGATAGAAACACCAAATTTTTTTTTTGGATCCCACTTCAACAAATCTCTGGACACCTGGGTTGTTTACTTTTTGTTTTTATTTTTTAGCTCCCCAATGCTGCTGGATATCTATCTCTTTCCCTGAAAATGTTTCAGGAATAGGGTTATATTTCTTTTAAGGAAAAAACAACCTATAAAAGTTCTGTACAAAGCACCAAGTGAAAAATGCCCATGGTGCCCACTGTATTTCATCTGTTTTTGCTTCTTTCTCATGACTTAAGTCTTTCCCTTTGAAAGAGCTGCATTTTCCCACTTGTGGTTCTGATCTAGTCATTGCTGCTCCAGGAATAAGTCAGAGATCGTGATAAGCACCCTCCAGTCCTTCAGCCAACAAAAATCTCGGACCTATCTGCACTGGGAACAGCAGCAAGTATGCAAGGCTGGCTTGAAGCCATACAGAGGGGGCTGTCAGAGATTGTCAGTACAATAAAGAAAGCTGGGGAGGGTGGAGAGATGCTGCTGCACGGATTAGAGACGAGATGATTTCCCCAGTTCACTGACCATCCCTGAGCAACCTCCACTCCACAAAAGCATGTGTCGGGTATATTAACACTTGCACCCTGACCAACTATTTACCCTTCCGTGTGAACCTGGACAGCATCCCTTTTCCAGAACTGGGAGAAAGGAGTGCCTGATCTTACGGAGTGAGGTCGGTGAGGATTCTGCCTACTTGCTCTGGCCCGCGACCTCCACGCATGAGCTAAGGCCAGACTGTACCCATCCTCCCCCAGTACACCACCTCCCACCGCATCTTTAGGGATCCAGGAGAGGCCAAGCAAAGATGAAGGGGCGGGGCCATCTCTTCAGTGCCCACTAACACACCCCCTTTTCCCGCGGCCATAGTATCGCGAGAAGTTGAGGGCTCGCAAACGAAGGCGAAGGCGCAGGCGCAGACGGTTTCACTCGCGCCGCAGGCCCCGCCCCTGCTGGCGGGCTTGCTTTGTTGGAGGCGGTCCTGGATCACGGAGCCCCGCCCGACGCTGCGTGTCACCAGGGCAACCGGAGAGTACTCAGCTAAACCAGACTCAGAGGACGGCGGCCGTACTGGCTGCGATGATGTCCAAATCGGTGCATGGCCTGCCTTTTCTCCCGGGCACATCCTTTAGGGACTCCACGGTGAGGACGTAGGTGCCCACCCCAATCTGTCCCCACCTGGTGGCCCCGAAAAACTCATCACTTAGTGCATCTCTATTCTCCGCTCTCTCTCTTCAAACCTGTCCTCGATTCCGAGTTCCTCCCTACCCAGTTTCCCATGTCCTCTCCTGCACACCCTCCCTCACCCTCCCTCTGCCTTCTGCCTTCCGCTCCATTCCTCTTTAGTGTTTGCACTGCACCTCGGCAGTGGGCAGCCTTCGTGCTCAGCCCGCTTGTCGCGCTCGTACTGCTCTGCTCCTCCAGCCCCTACCCCTTCTCCCCGTCGGTCCCTGTGTGCCCTCCGCTCCCCGGCTCCCAAGCTGTCCCTAACCTTTAGCTCATTCTCTGACCCCAGACCCTGTCTCTCTGCTTATCTTCCTTAACCCCAGCCTCCGCCCATTCACCCACTGGGCTCCCTCCATTTTGAGGTTCTTCCTGTCCAGTTTCCCCAGGCCCATCATTCTCGTCCTGCCCTCTTCCTCCTCCAAATCCTGGACCTTGTAATCTCTCCACTTCCAGCTCCACTTCCTGTCTTGTCTCTGTGTCATTTCCACTTATTCGCTTCTTTCTGCCAGGTCTTTTTCCGCAATCGCCACTCTTCTGTTTTAAACTTCCACTTAACCGCATCCCTTTTCTCTCCGGCTTCTCTTTTATAATCTGATCCCAGTCTCTCTCCCCGCCACTCTCCTCTCTCTCTCCCCCTGCCCCTCCCTCTTCCCTCTCCTCCCCCCTTCCCTCCCCTTCCTCCATTTTGGTTTCTCCTAAACTTGCTCATCTTCCTACCAAACCATCCTTCGCTGCTCTGTAAGAGATAGGTATCCTAGTCGGGTTTCCTCAACTACAGTGGATTAGTTGCTGTTAGCCCTGTACTTTTTCCTCTGACATTTTCTATTAAATATTTCTATTTAGATTATGTTTTGCTCTCTCCAGTCACGTTCTTTAGGCAAAATTAAACAAATGCAACAAGAGGTTCTTGGGTTTTCTTTTTCCTCTTAACATAGTTTAGCTCTTAAATAAAGTATTTGTTTTAATGCTAATAGTGTTGCTAAGATACATGTTCTGGAAAATCATTATGGAGATTCAGAATGATTATCATTGATGAGCCAATAGTGATTTATATATTTTAATAATTTGAACTCAAGTTCTTCACAATCATAAAGTTAAGATAAAATATTAATCAATTTTTTTCTTCAGGATAATGAATCTTAATTTAAATTGAAAGTGTGGTAAGAGGATTTGGATTCTAAGTCTTTTCTGTTATTCTTGCAGTGAGACAGAATTTCACAGATTTTCAGTTTCAGTGGACTTCAGTTCTATGTAATTTAGAAAATGTAGGCATTTTCCTGCCATGTACAGAATGAGCTTAAGTGTTTGGTGTCAGTGAGTGGGGCTGACAAGACAGGGTTGAGTTGATTCAGGGGATTATAAACATAGATGGAAGTACAGGCTCTTCAGTATATATTTCTATAGTACAACCAAGATGAGCTGTGCATTGGGCATACTTCATGTTGTAGAAATCTGATTGAGTGTCCACCAATTTAACTTAATTGACATTTGAAAAGCATAGTCACTGACTTCAGCAGAGACAGAATAGATATATATGTGTAACTCTAAAAGTATTCAGAAGTTGAGCCACGATGTTAAGGAGGGTGTGAAGGCATGAGGAGCCCTTGCCTGGGTTGACCATGTGCTCCGTGATTCATAGCTGAGTGATGCTGGAGACATCTGTCCAAAGCAGGAAAAGCAAACTACAGTCATTGATGTGTCTCTTAATTTTTTATGCTGGGGATTGAGCTCAGGGCCTTGAACAGGCTAAGTGTGCACTCTACCACCAAGCTCATCCTCAGCCCCTACTGATACTGTTTCTGTCTTTAGAAGGAGAAAAAGAGAAATTTGAAGCTATTCAGGTTGTCCAGTGAGCAAGTCAGCTCAGCCCATTTTGTTCTATATCTTGTGTGTTATGGATCTGGAGTTCTTGCCAACTGATTTGTGACCCTGAGCTTGTATAACACTTTTTAAAGAGTTCACAGGTCATAAGTATTTTGGCAAATTTTATTCTGTTGTACCTTTTGTGTTAGTACAAGTCTCAAAAGATAGTATGCTGGACAGAAAAGGAATTAGAAAGTAGGCTAGTAAGACTTTTTTTTTCATAAAAATATATTTCAAGGGCTGGGGATTTAGCTCAGTGGTTCCGCTGCCTGCCTCAAAAGCACAAGGACCCGAGTTTGATCCCCAGCACCAAAAAAATATATATATATATATATTTCATGATTAATTCTAAATATATATGTATAACTATAATTATTACATAAAGTTTGAAAGTGACCTTATATTAAAAGAACAGAAAAAGATAACCCACCAAGTTAACTTTTGAGTTTTCTACTCTTTTTTTAATCTTTTATTTTTTTCAATTACCAATAAAAATATATTTATTGTAAAAAATCAACATCATTTACAAATATATAATACATACAGAGGACATTCACCAAATCCATTCTCCTTTCATCCAAATGCTTGCAAGCTTATAATTGTAGTATACATATAATTTTACCTGTTGTCTTTTTGGTCTTACTATATCATAAGCATTTCTCCCAGGTTCCTAAATGGTTTTTAAAACCATTATTTTAATGACTACATAATAGTCCATTGAGATTTCCATCATATACTCACATCGTTTGATTGTTTCTAAAGTTTTACTTTTATAAATAACATTGTTAAGGCCAGCTTCAGGCATATAGTTCTAAGCCCATAATTTTGGATAATGTCCTTGAAATAAATGATTGGGTAGAATTATTAAGTTCAAAACTTTAAATGTATGCTATCCAGTTGCTTTACAAAGAGTTGCATGAATGTATGTGTCCCTGCAACAAGATAGCAAAAATAAAATTCACAGAACCAGATCATGGTTTGTGATATTCAGAGAAGAGGAAAAACAGGGGGACTATTGAAAAATGAAGAGTGTAAATGAGATGGTATTTTAATGTCTTATGTAAGATGAGCAGGTAGTTAAAATGGGCATTTACAGAGTAAAGCTTTAAATTTTATTTTAAGCTCAGATGGCTACTCCTTCCTTTCTTGTTCAAGTGTTTTAGTTTAAAATACAGAACCTTTTAATGTCAATAAACTTTGAAATAAGTTTTGTGATGTTTGTAAGCAAGGTTTAAGTTATAACATTTTAAAAAGTTAGTTGTTTTACCTAGAAATACTTGTTCAATGTTAGTAATGACATACTTCTTTTCTTTTACCCTAGAAAACAGCCTTTCATAGAAGCCAGACGCTGGGCTACAGGAATGGCTATGCAGTTGTACAACGCCCAACAGTTGGAATTGGTGGGGACGGGCTTCAGGCTAAGCAGCTGTCTCAGGCTGAGTTGGATGAGTTGGCCAGGAAAGCACCATTTCTAACTTATGGCCAAGCTAAGCAGGCTCCACCTGTAGAGTTTATTCCTGCATATGTGGCTTTTGACAAGAAGGTATCATCTGGGATTTTAGGGAACTCCTTGAATTCAAATGTCTGTGAGCCAACTGCTTGCAGAAAGTTAACAGTAAACCACAGGGCTCCCAGAGTGCTCTGAGGATAAAATTGTTCAAATGCCTCAGCCCTTAGTCACAGACAGCTGAACTCAGGCTTGAAAGAAGCTTTCTTTAGTCCGGAAGCTGATTGCAGAAAATAACTCCCTGTAGACTTCACTAGAATATTTTCCAAATACAGTTAAAGAAAAGTTAGATGAAATCTAAATTTGTATGTTCATATTGCCCTATGCTTACCTGCTCTGTGCTTTCCACTTTTAAAAAATACTGTATTGTGTAATGATGACAAGTCCTTAATCTGTGAAATACAGGGTAACAGCATGAAAACAGTGATTCCATCTATTGTCAGTTTTCTCTAGGCTGTCTTAGTAAGTTTTCAGGGAACATTTCACATTTGATATTACATAATCAGAAGGTAGTGTAGTAGTTTTGATTGTTTCTTAATTTCCTTATGGCATTGCAGTGTGAGTTTATTTTTATTTCCAGCTGTTGATATTTCCACACTAACCTTGCTTTCTTTGTCAGTAAATCTCATTTCATCACTTCTCGGCCTTTTGGCTAAGATCAAGTGTAGTAAATCCCTTTTCAATATAAAGAAGTAGTCCTACCACTAGCTATGCATCAGAATCAATAGACTTATAATAATCAGATGTCATGATAGCTCATGTGGATTCTAATTTCCACCTGATTTATATATATATAACTGGATCTGAGAACTACTAATCAATTTTTATGTTAGCTTTCTTAATTTACCGGACTATTTCCTCCCTCCTTCCTTTTTTCTTTTCTTTTTCCTCTCTCCCTCCTTCCTCCCTTCCTTTCCCTCCCCCCCTTCCCCCTCCCTCCCCTCCCTCCCTCCCTCCCTCCCTTCCTTCCTTCCTTCCTTCCTTCCTTCCGTACTGGGATTGAACCCAGAGTCTTTGCAGCAAGCTACATCCCAGCCCTTTAAAATTTTTTTTAAATTTTGATACAGGGGTCTCACTAAGTTGCTAAATTGTCCAGGCCATGCTCAAACTTGGAATCCTCCTGGTTCAGCCTCCCAGAATACTAGGATTACAGGCATGGGCTGCCACATCTGCCTTTTTTCCTTTTTAGTTTTTTTAAAATATTAATTTTTATTTTTTCTCTTAAATGTCTGCCACATTTTTCAACCAGTCAGCCAACTTTTATTGAGTGCTTATTGTAAGCTAGAGTTTGGGGAGGAACTACTATTACATTAATAATCACTTTGTTTAAAATTGTTTTCATTCTGTCAATCAGAATCCATGTCATTTGGTCTTTACCATCTCAGCTAACTCATTTACAGGAATGTGTTCAAACATCCATTCATAGACAGAACTTAAACATCCACTAACAATACAAATATTATAATTGGTTGTATGTTTTCCTTTTGCTTCTTTCTCATGTTTATTTATAGCTCAGTGGCACTGTAAAATCGGTAACAAAGGGGAGAATAGTGAAAATAATGGGATAGAAGGTTAATGATGTATCAAGTTATAAATTCTAGTATATTCAGTATTTACTTAAAAGAATAGCAAATAACTATTATAAAGTAGAAAGTGATAAAGTGATATATAGCATAAGAAAGTATTAATGAAATTCAAACGGAAAATTATACATAAGTAGGAAATAGGCTATTTTTCTGTTATTTTATATTGTCGTTAATTAATTTATACTAATTTAATATTCATAATTTAAGGATAGTGTATGTGAAGAATGTTACTAAGCCAGGTATGATGATACATGCCTGTAATTCCAGTACTTGGGAGGCTGTGAGGCAGGAGGATTATGAGTTTGAGGCCAGCCTAGGTTACATAGCAAGTTCAAGGTCTTCTTAGACTACATAGTAAGACCCTGTCCCCCCTCAAAAAAGAAAAAAGAATATTACTTAATTTTTTATTTTCTAATTTACTGGGATGTTTACAATTTCTATATAAATAATACTTACCAAAAATCTGTGGTTTTGAAACTGTTTACAATAAGGGCATTATGGTTTTTCTGAATTGAGTCAGTTCAAATTTTCTTTACTTTTTTTTTTTTTTTTGGTACTGGGGATTGAACTCAGGTCCCTGCCCTTGGGAGGCAGGAGGCAGGAGGCAGAACCACTGAGCTAAATCCCCAGCCCAGTTCAAATTTTCTAAGGAGTATCTGGAAGCGTACTTCATAGCCAACATATTTGTTCATATTTTGAATATTCTTTTTTTTTGGTACTGGGCATCAAACTCAGGACTTTGCACTTATGAGACAGGTAGTGGCACCACTGAACTAAATCCCTGGCCCTCCATATTTTGAATATTCTTAGGGCTGTTTCTTATAGAATATAGAATATAACTTCATTTTTTCTTTGATAATCAAGACCAGGATGTCTACTGTGTGTGCCCTGGTCTTTTCTCCTTTTTCTCATATAATTTTCTCTTTCATCACCTGTGATAATCTGTTTTCCAGGTTAACTTTCCATTTTGGGTTCCCAATGTTATTCTTTTATCTTCAACTTTCATACATTTAAAAAAACAAATTTGTGACTCCTTCTCCAGTTTGAGTCATATTATGCTATCCTACACCCCCCTTCTACCTGTGACTCCTTTAAGCAAGAGAACTTTATTCCTCACCTGACTGTCAGATTATTAGTCTGACCCACCTCACCTTCAAGCCCAAAACTACTTTTTCCTAGGTGGCCATTGTCACTTTTACAAATCTTGACAGGTTTACTTTGCCAGCATTCTCTTTGGCCTGTTTGTAGCGTCTGGTACTATTGACCCTCCCTTCCTTCTGTAAACTCTGCTCTTCTGTCACTCTCAAGACTACTCCTGACTTTCTTCTTCCTCATCTAGCTGCTGTCTCTCAGCAACCCCCCCCCAACTTTGTTATTGTAAGCATTTTCAAGTTTCTATTCTCATTCTTTATATTATTTTCTTGAGAGATGTAGTCCACTTTTATGGTTTCAACTACTGTATCTTCTCAATTTAGACAACTGCCAGTATCATTTTCAACTCTGCCTCTGTGAAACTCCAGGCTGATATCCCACTGCCCATGGGATGTCTTCACCTAGATGCACTGTTAGCACTTCAGATTCCGTATGTCTCCAACTCCCCTCATCACCTTTCCCCTCCATCTGCTCTCTGAGTAGCCTCACCAGGCAATCCAAGCTTGAAACCTGAGCCATCATTCCTTCTCTTCTCACATTCAGTGAGTTCGTGTGTTCCACTTTCATTTCTTCTATCATTTTTATAGTTCAAATAAGCCATATGACCATTTACCTGGGGCATTAGCCTCACATGTCGTCTGTATGTATAAGAGGTCTACTGCCTGATTTATTTCCCAAAGCACAGCTCGGATTATATAATGTCTTGGGAAAATGCCATCATAGTGTGCTAACCAATACAGTAAATGTGACCACTATCTACCTACTTAGCATTCTGGCCCCAACCTGAATGTCATCTTTGATTCTTCTTTCCCTTTACAACCCATATCCCATCTATTAACAGATTGTCATTTCTACCTCTAAAACATGTAACTAATCTGTCCGTTTACTTCTGTCTCCACTATTAATATAAATTCACTTTTCATAAAGCCGGCAGGCTTATCTTTTGAAAAATGGATTATGTCAATACTGATTTAAAACTCTTCTATCACACGTAGAACAAGGTTCAGTTCTACAAATTCCTCACAGCCTCAGCTAGAACTGGCCCTCCCTGTTGTTTCTCCAGCCTCATCTTGGGCCCCTCTTTTCCTCACCCACTGTGTTTCAGTTTCAGGGGATTTCTTTTCCTTGTTTTCTTGAAACTGTAAGCCTCTCCACCCTTCCGCATCTGTACATGTGCTCTTTCTCCAATGTGGATTACTTTCCCTCTGCCCTTCAGTGGCTGACTCCATCTCATCTTTCAGTGTGGCTTACACAAGGCTTTTCCTGTTCACTCTGCTAAGCAAGTCTCTTTCTATTCTCTTAACACTTCCCTTTATTTTCTTCAAAGCACTAATTTCTTGTCTCTGTCAGTGCTGAAAATTGATAAGCTTAACATGCGACACATACGTGTAATAGAGTAAAATAAAAATTATGGCTTATTATAACTAATATTTATATTTATAGTTTTTGCCTCTCGATCTTGAAGTAAGCACAGATATTTTCATATTATGGCATTCTAAGTGTTTCCTAGGAGTTAGAAGACTTGAGTTTTCATTCTGGGTCTTCTACCAATAGCTCTGTAAATGTGGAAAGGCACAATGTTAATTTCCTTATCCATAAATGCAGAAGATTAGAAAGTATAACTGGGCACCTAGTCTTCTGCAAAAGTCTATGAAAAATACTTTTTTTTTTGGTACCAGGGATCAAACTCAGGACCTTCCACTTGCAAGGCAAGCAGCGGAACCACTGAGCTAAATCCCAGGCCCCCATTTTTTTTGAGACAGGGTCTTTCTATGTAGTTCAGCCTGGGCTTAAACTCACCATGTAGCCCAGGCTGGCCTCAAACTTGTGGTGGTCCTCCCGCCTCAGCCTCTCAGCTACTGGGATTATAGGCATGCACCACCACACCTGAAAAATAAACTTGAAACACAGTATCTACCCATTATTTTTCCTTCTTTTTTCCATAATGCATCAAGTTTTTTTCTACCTGGAAAGGTTGATATTATCCTGACAACATTTGTTTTGGAAGCAAAACATTTATTGCTACATTGTAGGTATAGGTAGTGATAACATTCATCATAGGTACTTATAAATGATATATCTTGCTTCTTTTTTCCCATTTCCCTCCCCTCCCTTTGACCTCTCTTCCCCTCCTTATTTACAAAAGCTTTGTTTCCATTTTTTCCTTCTATTCTTTTCTTCTTGTTCTTTCGTTCCTTTCCCCCTCCCCCCTCCCTTTCCCCCCTTCTCATTTGAACATTTTCTTCCCATTTTCCAATATCTATTGTGTACACTTTGGTTCTCATTTACACTTGGTTT